ATAAAAAATTATTTATATTATGTTTGAGTTGATTAATCAAAAAAATCGTTTTCCTCTCTTCCATCCAAATATATAGTTAATAAAAATTACATATTAAAAGAAATTTCAAATCATCAAGGTTTATTTATTTATTTATTTTTATTTTTGTATCATAAGTACTATTTATAAAAATCCAACGCTTGAAGCTTCCTTGTCTTTTCCTTTGATCGTGTGAAGAATTTATTAATTTTTCACGTTCCAACTTAATTCCAACCCCCTTCTTGGTGTGGAACTTTAGGCCTTTTACATTAACCTAATGTGTTTCATTTTGCCTTCAATTATTAAAATTTGAATCCTATTAAGTTTTCAGTAAAAAAAAAAAAAGAATCTAATGTGATCTATCTACTTTTTTTTATTTTTTTTATTTTTGTATCCTGTGTATACTATTTATGAAAATCCAACACTTGGAGCTTCCTCGTCTTTTCCTTTGACCGTGTGAAGAATTTATTAATTTTTCATGTTCCAACTTAATTCCAACCCCCTTCTTGGTGTGGAACTTTAGGCCTTTCATATTAACCTAACGTGTTTCATTTTGCCTTCAATTATTAAAATTTGAATCCCATTAAGTTTTCAGTCAAAAAAGAAAAGAATCTAATGTGATCTATCTACTTTTTTTCTTTTAATTTTTGTCTCCTGAGTACTATTTATGAAAATCCAATGCTTGGAGCTTCCTCGTATTTTCCTTTGACTGTGTGAAGAATTTATTAATTTTTCACGTTCCAACTTAATTCCAAACCCTTTCTCGGTGTAGAACTTTAGGCCTTTCACATTAACCTAACGTGTTTCATTTTGCCTTCAATTATTAAAATTTGAATCCCATTATGTTTTCAGTCAGAAAAGAAAAAGAATCTAATGTGATCTATCTACTTTGCCTTTAATTATTAAAGTTTGAATTACATTATGTTTTTGGCAGAAAGAAAAAGAATATAATGTGATCTATCCACTTCGGCTTCAATTATTAAAGTTTGGATCCCATTATGTTTTGGTCAGAAAGAAAAAGAGTCCAATTTGATCTATCTACTAATTTTGTGAAAAGAAAATCTAAAATGTTATAATTATGTTATTATAAAATATTATAAATTTATAATATGATTTATTATTGTATAATTAATTTTTTATTTAAAAATTTATTCATAATATTATATACATTTATTTATTTAATATTACGTTAAATTATAACTATAATATTGTCGAAAAGAAAGTAAATCCATTTTTTTGTATGAGAGTTTATTGTTTTGCTATTAGAATTATATCATATTACAAAATAGAGATAATTGAATGAGAGTCCCAATATTAGAGAGCTTGCCTCTCATTTAACAGTTTATATTGTACCAGTTAAGATTGTACAATAATTTTTTTTTCATTTTATATAACATGTTTTTTAAATCTATTTTCTTAAAATACAGATTAAAAGTATAATAAATATATATTTTTCATAATTTTGTATTAAAAAAACAAAAGTTGTCACATCCAACTTATCAACCGTATAATTAAATTTATCTATATAGCAATGATATTAAAATTAAAATCAATTTATGATTTTTATACACATTTTATGAGATTATAAAAAATTAAAATATTCTAACGATTATAATATCAAAAATGATAATAAAAAACTTAAACACCTTTACTAAATCAACATATAATAAAGATTCATTAATAATATTTCAAAACAATTTTATAGGCAGTTTTCACATTTTCCAGACATTTTGATTTTTTATTTTTATCCAAAAAAATTTTTATCATGTGTCGTAAGATTGTATTTATTATATTTTTTTTATTAATTTGAATAAAAATATTTATTTTAATTTTATCAGTCATTTAATTAAAATTATTCACATAATATTAATATTAAAAATAAAATTTAATTTTATAATTATTCATACAAATTAATAAAAAAAATGTAATAAATAAAGTTAGAAAAACCTTTTTCTCTAATGCTAAAGTGTAAAGAACTTTTGAACCCAACTATGTTCTGCCGGTGGAAAAGATAAGGAATCCAATTACTATATAGAATGCCAGCTGAATTTTCCACATTCCAGCCCTTCGATTGGTGTGGGAAAAAGTATTTTTTTTTTAAAAAAATGAAGTTGTATTCAGATTCAACTCAATGTATGTCTAATAATTGCCTCCAGCCAACTTCAC